ATATCCCTTTATCGTTTATTAATAAAAGAAAGAGAAATCGTTTATGATGCACATCTTCGCCCATGGATCGCTAATGAGTAATTGTTCCGCGGGCAATGAATAGTAATCTTAGTAGGCCACGATCAAGGTTTAATTCGATTTTAATATTCTTTAACCATCCGCCTCTTCCTGTTTTTACTTTCTCTGAGGCCGGGCCCAAGTTGAGATTGACACACTTGGTGATCGAATGTCACAAAAGAAGCAGAATTAAATACAGAAAATTGGATTTAAATCGACTTTATGGAGAGATCCTGCGGCTATGAGCGAACGTTGAGCCGCAGTGTTTTTTTTATCGCGGATCTCTATGTTGTTAATTTAACATTTTCGAATTAGTGGGATTACTGATTTTTTTATCGATTCATTCCGATGTATTTTGAGCTCGGTAACCATCGGTGATCGCCAAATAGCCAAACTGACCTGACAGAGCCTGAAAACAGGTTTATCAAGTTTTGCACTATTGAGGTAGAGAATCGGACATAACACTTGAATTGTTTATTCCATAATCTCTATTGTACTTAAAATGTCTCGACAATCCACCGAAACTGTTTTAACAATTATTGTCAATAGTCTGGAGAAGTATTGTCGAAACTTCGTCCGTTTCCTAATTATCCACTACTTCTTTTTCGGTTACTGATAGTAGATATTTGAGTAATAATCCGGTATGGCCTTGAGGTCCTTTTTATCAATCCCTGATAGCTACTTAAAGGTTGCCACCACATATATATCAATCTGAGTTTTAAAAGGCCGTGTTAGGGTGTTGCACGCTTTTACATTTTCGAGTCTAGCGAGACTGGTTCGGATCCCGCCTGGGCGGGTTGAAGAGTTCATTTCGTGGCGGACCCACGCACAGTGGTCGTCGAAAATCCATAATCCCATAAAAATGTGCTCCGCCAAAATTTTGTTGACGCAACTTGCGCCACGCACGCTCCTTCTGGGCACCCTTACTATTTTATATCTTTTACTTTCCGCTCATTAATTTTTCAAAAAAAACAAAAAACATTATTTGGCCTCCCTATTCTCCCGAAACCTCAAGAAGACTGGTAGTTGTTATCAGGTCTAGAAAATATGCTTCAACTATTACATATTTCTTCAAAAAAAAAAATATTTAAAGGAGTGATAGCCGAACTGAAGAGCTATAAAACGTTTTTACGAATAATGGTTCGTTTTTCAGCTGGAAATTAAAGTTTTAAGTAAGTCAAGTTTTTTTTTTAATAGGAAGAGATAACTAAAAAACTATTTCATTTAAGTAATTAACAATTGCTTCACTGTAAACCAGACAAAATTTATTATAAATTAAAATAGAGTTTGCTGTTGTTAAAACCATTTAAAGAGGACTTTTGAGCGGCTAAAATAAGCTAAGAAGGGGAGAGATGGGTAGTGGTGGAGGAACGGGTTTGTGTGAGGGAAGCACCTGGTACAGAAGTGTGCCCCCCCCCCTCCTGAGAAAATTCCTGGATCCGCTACTGTCCACTTGGCCATTAGGATCTTTTTATTGTTCTAACTATAATAATGCTTAGGGTTACAAAAAACTCACTATAATTTAAATGTAAGTAGAAAACTAATGAATTGCGAATGCGAATCGTGTTCAAAACCACATCAACGAACTAATTTTTTGTCTAAAGGACAATAACATTGACATAGCCCTAATAACTGAGACCCGACTAACTAACAAACCACAGTTGAACATACCTGGTTACAAGATTTATCGAACTGACCACTCTGATGGAACAGCACATGCAGGCACTGCTGTCATCATACATCAATCCCTCTCTCATCACTTGCATCCCCTACCAGTTCATAATTTCCTACAAACCTCAGCAATAACAATCCAAACCTCACTTTTTCCTATTACAGTTGACGCAGCGTACTCTCCACTAGCAATACCTGAACCTAACTTCATTTCTTTTCTTCATTCCTTTTCCATTTCCTAGTGCAGATCTTAATGCCAAACAACAGCAATGGGGATCCAAAACCACGAAATCCCGCGGGCGAACATTTCTGTCTGCTCTTAATGCCCATAATAGCAACATCCTTTCTCCTGATACTCCTACATACTGGCCAACCGATCCTAACCGTAATCCTGAACTCCTTGACTTCTTCATTCACAAAGATCTATGGCCGCTAAATTTCTACATTTCACGGCTCAATGACCTTTCCTCAGATCAGAGTCTGCTAAACTTAACCCTTTCCGCATTTTCTATACCCAGATTATCTTCTCCCTCATTCATCAGAGGCCCAGTCAACTGGAACCTCTTCCGTCAAACAATAACAGATGCAATAGAGCTCATAGTATTGCTAAAAAAGCCCTCAAGCCCTAGATAATGCAGTGAGTTCCTTCATTACCGTGATCCAAAAAGCAGTCTGGACTGCATCCTCACCACTCCACTCCAATAAATCCCTTAAAAAGAATCCTTTGCCCCAAAACCTAAGTCAGTTAGATCCAAACGTCAATATAGGACTCTCTGGCAAAGAACCAGGTATCCTGATGATCGGAAATTATACAATTACTATTCCAAACAGGTTAAAAAAGAACTGGCTACCTTAAATCCCATTCCTACAATTCCTACCTTTCTTTCCTCTCTACCGATGACAACTACCTCTGGTAAGTGACCAAAAAAATCCTTAAATACCAAACTATTTCCCACTCCCTCCGACGGGATGATGGAACCTAGGCTTCGTCAGATGAGACTAGAGCTGAAGAATTTGCCAAACACCTGTCCAACATATTCACTCCGTTCCACCCACACTGCTGAAGTTAGAGAACTCCTTTCTTCTCCGGTTGTTCTCTCCTTGCCTCCTAAAGCTACCAACCCCTCTGAGGTTAAATTTCTTATAAATAACTTGAAACCCCCGATAACCCTCTGGACACGATCTTCTTACTTCGCAGATCATTAAACAACTTTCAAAAAAAGCAATCATATTCCTTACATACCTATATAACTGTACCCTCCGCACAACTCACTTTCCTTTGAAATTGGAAACACTCCATAATCATCCTCCTCCCTAAACCAGGTAAACCTGTTAATAATACCTCATCCTTTAGACCAATAAGCTTGCTCCCGATCCCCTCAAAAATCTTTGAAAAAACCCTTCTCAAACGTATCCTACCCATTCTCGAAACCCACAATATCCCTTCCCATCAGTTTGAATTCCGCTGTTCAACAAGGCATTCGCGTTGTTGACTATTTATCCTTTGCGCATGAAAACAAGCTATATTCCACTAGTGCTTTTCTTGACGTAGCTTTCACGATTGCTTGCTTTTCAAGCTTAAAACCCACTTACCTCAATCCTTGTACCTAGTCCTCAAATCCTACATTTCAAATCGTTCCTTTCAAGTCCACTGCGGCACCGAATTCTTCAATTATTATCCAGTTGAGCCTGGTGTTCCATAAGGCTGTGTCTTGGGCCTAGTTCTCTACATCCTTTTCACAGCTGACATCCCAACCCATCCCTTCTAGCAAAATTTACAGACGATACCGCCATCCTATCATCCCACCCAGACCCAGAAACAGCATCCCTAAACCTACAGACACATCTCCCTAATAGAGCAGTAATGCAACAATTGGCGCATCAAAATCAATGAATCCAAATGCAAGCATGCCACTTTTACCCCCCTCACACAGTTCGGTATCTTGGATTTCTTTTAGACAAATTAACATGAAACCCACATACCAGACGAGAACTTAACCGTCTATTTTGCCAATTATATAGACTACTTAACAGAAAATCTAACATTTCAATTGAAAATAAACTAATAATATACAAGACCATACTGAATCCTATCTGGACCTACGGACTTGAAATGTGAGGGATAACTAAATTTTTGAACATCAACCGCATCCTATCTTTCCAGTCTAAAGTCCTTCGTATAATGGCCAATGCTCCTTATTATGTTACGAACATCCCTTATGTCCTTGACGTTATTCCATCCCGATTTTCAAATTTTCATCAGAACCTAATCCATCATCCTAATCCCTTAACATAATCTCTATCCAGTCCCAGTCATCTCAACAATCCTAGAAGGTTGAAACGGCAGTGGCCTCGAGATCTTTTGTAAATATGTCAATGGAGTTCTGGCAATGGGCACCTTCTCCACACAAGTTATGAGCGTATGTGGCTTTAGTGCCCTCTCTTAGTCTCCACTGGATTCCCATCCTTATCCCACTGGAGTCTTGCCTTATCCTCCACACGTGGGGGAAAAGGCCCTACTCGAAGCTCCCTCGGCTGACTTTAAATATTGTAAATAAGTGTGAATGTGTTTATAATTTTTTTTTTTTTTTTTTAATTTATTGTTGTCTCATATTTGATTTATTCTGTTATTCCAAGTTTTCTTTTCTTTTCATTTGTTATAATTTTCTATTATTTTTCTTTCATTGTATGTATGGTATGATTGTGTTTCATATATCCCAAATACACCAATTAAGGGCATTTAATTGAGGCAAAATGTTTTGTTTTTTTTCAATAAAAAATATTTAAAAAAGACATACACTTCCCTTTACTTACTTATCCACATACTAATAATATGCTATCTTTTAAGATGTAAAAAAGGTATTTCGTCTGTATAAATAATTAAAAGGCAGTGAGTTGAGCCGTAACAACCAATATTGTGTTTAGAAAGTGTCGGACGCGTTCTATTTACTTTGGTGTCTGACAGCGTTTCCGAACCCCAAAATGTAGCCTTAGCTACACATTTTAAAACAGCCAGAAATTCACTCAAATTTCATTCGATTTGTTTTCGTATATTAAAGCAAATAAAAGTGCTGTTTTGGTGTATTTTAGCGAACTCTGGTAAAAGTATTATTTTAACGATTAAACATCTTATAAACTTGTTTAAAAAAAATAGATTTAGAGAAATAAAATAATACAATCCGTATTAATGACCAATGAATAATGACCGAGTTTTGAGCAATAACAGGAAAAGTCTCAAAATAAATGCCTAAGGGAAAGAGTGGGGGTAGAATTTGCCTATTAATGTGTTATGACAACTGGTAAAAATTCAGTTATCCCTGAATTTCTTCCGACACAAAACCTTCATTTTTGTGCTATCCCTGTATGTTTGTGCTATCCCTGAAAAAAATGTTTCATTGTCTAAACTATACTTATAGGTAAGTGGATATAAAACATAACACATTTAAGAATTTTAAAATTATTTCTTGTCAATTTTAACGTTATATATTGAACTTGATACCGATTTCTTTCTTTTTTGAGTTATATTACATTCTGTCACAATTAAGAACATTAGTAACATTGATGAAAAAGTTCATTAACACTATATTTTCAATAAATTGAATGGAATAAAAGAAAAATTATAATGTTAAAAATAAATATGCATGTAAACAAGAAAGAAATTTAAGCTAATCTAAATAACAACTCGAATACAGAGATTTACAATCACTCATCCAGGGAAACTCCGAGCAAAGGCTTTCCTCCCACCTGTGGAGGGAAAAGCAGGACTCTAGGAGACCCCAGCGCCTCTCTTAGCCACTTCAATGGCTTGATAATAATAATAGATTTCTGCATCAGTATTATTTTTCGTTTAAATTATTAGCGACTACACAACTTTGGTTGTGATATTGTTTTAACTCACATTTGTCAGAGATTCCAACAACCAGCGCGAGTGTGCTGTCGAAAACTAGAATATGGAGTAAGACATTGGTAGGCGTGAGGGAGATGAGTTCCCAGCGGCATTCCTTCCTATCTTGATTTTATGACTTATAGCTAATGGAGGAGATCCCTCACCTAGCTTCTTTTATTTTCTATCGGGATGTTGGTATGTCCATGTATGTTAATGTGAAATCATTTGTAGTGTTTTCGTATATGGTCGTTAGCTGATGTGATTAATTGTAAAAAATCATATAATTCTTTATAAATAAGGTAATATATAAATAATGGTGACCAAGTATATAAATTAATTAAACACAATAATCTTTATTTCATTTTTAGGAACTCGATGCTGTTGATGATATTTTTTTTGTGGCTGGAGGTGGGGTATAGTTTGGATAATGGGTTGGCCCTTACTCCTCCGATGGGATGGATGTCATGGCAGAGGTACAGGTGTACCACAGACTGCAACAAATTTCCAGACGAGTGTATAAGGTAACTACTTTTTTTTTATATAATACAAAAAATGGCAAGTATCTAAATAAAACAAATTTTCGTATCATAATATATATATTAAACACCAACAAATATCATAGAAATTATGTAGTTTATAATTAAAAATCTCATTCCTTGTGATTCAGTGATAAACTCATTAGAAAAATAGCAACGGCAATGGCGGATGAAGGATACTTGGAAGCGGGTTACGAGTATATCGTCATCGATGACTGCTGGTTGGAGAAAGAGAGAAATGCCTCAGGTTATTTACAACCAGATAGAAAAAGATTTCCTTACGGAATGGAAGCATTGTCCAAGTTTGTAAGTATAGATTTAATTGAATTAAAGGAAAAATTTAATTTTAATTAATGACTTATCGTGGATCTTGGTTTCTTTAAGGTTCTAACTAACAAAATTGCGGGAGTTGAAATTTCACTCATAACAAAGTTACCTATGTTCCAAATTAATTTTAGTTCTATCGGCTAAAAAATAAAGAAACTAGCAGATTGACATAATTCTAACTGCTGAAAACTTTTGAAAGTAATTGGTTTGAGAAGGCTCTAACTGTAATACGCTGGTACATGATCCTCACTGACTAACTGAGAAAATTCATTTTCAGTGAGGACAATAATTTAGCTCTTCTCAACGCTTCAAGTGCCGTGCAGGTCCACGTGATCAACAGTTTCTGAACCACCACAGGTTGGACATAAAGGATTTGTATCAATCCCAAAACTGCAGCTTGAAATCCTTCCTCATAGTCCAGAGGCCAGTTTGCATGCACCCTCAACTGTACCGTGGAAAAGTACTTTGCATGTACTTTCTAAGTATCTATGTACTTTCTTTAAGGGTAGTTACCCACCACCGCACAGTGGTTCAGAGGGGGGATCCTTAAAATGAAAGTATTCCAATCATACTTTTTGTGCTAATATTCCTAGAATGTTGGCCGATAACTGTTGTCTTCAATTTCCTCCTATTTAACACTTAAAAATACAAATTAAACAGATATTTTCAGTGACTTCACAAAACATTAACGATATTTATAGATTTTTTGAAATAATAATTTTAGGTCATAGTAAGAGAGAAATTATTGATTTTGTCTTTGAAATGTGTCATACGAGTATTTATAGACAAATATAAATTAGGTACAGTCTTACAGTTATTTGGTTTACATTGTTATAACTAAGTAAAAATTGAAGAAAAAATGTTAGTATTAACCCAAAATGAACAACTACCTACACTAACCTACTTTGACTTTTTCCATTTGATATTAAGTATTAAAAGGTAAATCTTGTGAAAAATTGATTTGTCATTTTAAAGTACAAGTGATTTTTCTGTGAATTCATCAATCAATGACATATATGGTTGGATTAAGGTTATTTATTTACTTTTGTCTTTTGACATGTATTACCTTAATCACATTTATATAACCAGAAGAAGTGCGCGCGTGTGTGTGGGAGAGGGAGGGTAAGGTTAATACAGAGTGTCCCTTAAGTAGAGGGAAATTTTTATTGGAGCTGACCTCAAGAGCTACAAAAAAGTTCATATAAACAATGGACGAATTTTCAGCAGAAAAATAGCAAATCCAAGTTTTGAGTTGTTTTTTTTTTTTTTTTTTTTTGAGAGAGAGAGATAGCTAAAGAAATATAAAATTTTAGTAACTAAAAAAGGTTTAACTGTAAACAAGACAAAATTTACTCAAATGATATTAGAGTTTGTCATTGTTAGAACCATTTCAAGATGACTTTGGAGCGACTAAATTGATCAAAGTTGTGTTGTTAAAAATATCATAAATTATTCACAATTTTGGTTTATCGTCATCCAACTGTATTACAGTTACCCCACTTATAGAAAAACTTCATCGTGTAATAAGCTTTAAGTTGATATTAATTAAGTTGAGGTTTATTGAGAAAAAGAGGTGAGATTCAGTGTGTAAAAAAATTATATGATTTTTTATCCTGTCACGTAAAAGTACACATGTCTTTTTTCAACGAAAAAATCATTTTTTGGCTACAATCATTTGTTGTAAAGCTTTTATTTTTGTTTTTCCATTACCTATGATCTATTATAATAAAAGTAATTGCTCATTTTTAAATTTTTTTTCAGATAGAGTGTTTATGAAACTGTGTTTTTCAACCAGATCTTTATTATAGAAATTGCTTCGTATTTATAAGTGACAAACTAAATATTTACGTTAAAAATAAAGAAAGCTCCTGATTGCTTCTATTATTTTCATGAAAATGTAAACGATCAGGAAAACTTAGTTTATCACTTATCATTACCTATAATGGAGATCTGGTTTAAAAACATAGTTTCATAACCAATTTTTCGGGAGGTAATGGTATTTTCTACTCACCATATTTGATGTAGGTTAAAAAATTACTACCCCAAGAGATAGTTATTAACTGTTTTCATGATTTAGTTATATTTTCAAATTATAAAAAGGGGAAAATTTATTTTAAAAAAGAATTACTTATACTATAGAGAACTATTTTTTTTTAATATTGTGGTACGGTTAAATACGGGATATCTTCGATTTTAGCAAGTGTTATTAAATTGTTGGGAATCCCTAGTCTATGCTCTCTATTAGGGAGTCTCTAAACCCAGCCCAAAACAGTCAGTCTATGATGTACAATATTCATATTTCAATACATTTTTAAGCCTTATGTTTCCATAAGGAACAATTTATGATACACTTTTCGGATAGAGAACACATCGCTTCTACCATTGATAAAAATCGAACGAGACAAATGTGGCGCAGAATCGCTTTTCGAAGTTTTCTGGTTTTTACCTGGTACGCTGTGTACAGAACACACAATTAATAATTATAAATGTAACTGGACATAATATTTAAATATAAATATTTTAAAATTTGTATATTAAAAAACATTTCATTTCAATACCTATTGCGATGGATCTTATCCCTTATTCTAAAACGTTTTCGAAAATGGTGCAATATTTAATTATTGATAAGCTTTTGATGATATTAAAATAAAATACAAAGTGCAACTCGTTAATTAGAAATGACATCGATATAAATTTCGAAAATACAGTTCAACTCAACATAAGTTATACGAAACAATATAAAAACACATTATCTACATATTAAATCATCACCATTTTACTATCAGTAAAATATATTTTGCTACAGTTATTAGTAATAAAGATGGATAAATTCTGATTATTAACTAAAGGAGAAAAAAAGAGGAAAAATATTTTTGCCGGTTGAATAAAATTTAACGGAAATAAGAGTAATAAAATAGATACATAGTATACTGTTTAGAAGCTAAATATTTCAGGAACAATAGTTTCTTACTTATAAAGCTGTTACACATAAAGGAAAGTAACAAAAAAGGTAACGATTAATACTTTTTGTAGTTAATAATATTCATTTTTATATTATTACAGGACAAAAAATAAATAGAATTGCTAAGGAAACTTGTAAAAATTATTTTAGCTTAATATGCCAAAAATAAGTAGTTCACATTAAATATTCTTTTATATAATACTTATTGTTGATTTATATATACAGGGTATTTCAGGGTTAAGTGGCCAAACCGCAAAAATGAACCAAGGAACTCAAAAAAAGAAATAAATTACCTCTGACGGTGCGTCCGCAAAGGCTTTGTTTAGGAGAAATTCACACCTAAAAATTTTCGTTGTTATGAATTATTTACGTTATATGAAATAAATAAAACCTTTATTTGTTCTAACTACTTTATTAATTAAATGTAAACATTAAAATTCGTATTAAATGTTGTTCAAAGTGATTTCCTTGAGCATTAAGACAGGCTCGGCATCTTTCTTCAACTGCAGAAGTGGCAGAACGGCACTGGATATGTATTATTGTTTCACAAGATTCAATTATCCTTCTTCGTAAGGAATTAAGCTTGATTCCGGACTTGTTTAGACTTTTTGTTTAATGTCACCTCCAACAAAAAAAATCAGTGTTGTCAGGTCTGGAGAGCGTGCAGGCCAAGCCACTGGTCCTACACGGCCAATATGGGTAAAATATATGGGATATGATCACTAGCGGATCCAGGATTTAATTTTGGGGAGGGCTTCAGCCCGAAACCTTTTTTGTCATAAAAATAACGTTAATTACTTTGGAAAAACAGAAAGAAACTAACTACCTATATGAAATGGTGTTTAAGTTATTCCTTAAGTACTTTTAAATCTAATTACATGAAAAATAATACTTTAAGAGGTATTTTTTAAATTCTTTTTCCCATAAAACATGTTTATATTTTCCATTTTGGGGGAGGCTTCAGCCCGAAAGCCCCCCCCCCCCCGTAGATCCGCCCGTGGATATGATTGAGCAAGTCCGGCAATGACCTTAATTCCCTACGAAGAAGGATAATTCCTGCCACTGCTGATATTGAAGAAAGATGCCGAGCCTTTCTTAATGATCAAGGAAATCACTTTGAACATTTAATATGAATATTAATGTCTACATTTAATTAATAAATTAGTTAGAACAAATAAACAGGTTTGATTTATTTCATATAACGTAAGTAATTCATAACAACGAAAATCGTTAGTTGTGAATATCTCCTAAACAAAACTTTTGCGGACATACCTTCAGAGGAATTTTTTTTTCTTCTTTTGAGGTCCTTAGTTCATTTTTGCAGTTTGACCACTTAACTCAGAAACACCCTAGATACTGTAAAAGAAATAGTCTTAATTTTTATTAATTTGATTAAACTTAATTTGTGCTGAATGTAGAATGGTTAGTGAAAGTTGTGTGATACGCGAATCGTACCATAATATACAAAATGTGTCTATTGTAAATAGTACGGCCTTGAACTAGTGATTACGTTATTTAAAAAAAAAATACCAGACAAAAAAAAAAAAAAACGAGACTGATTAGATAACTGACGAATCTTTTAAATTTTAAGTACTACCAGCCACTTCTACAAGTTTCTGAAGCTTTTAATTGAGGAAAAATAATAACAATAAAAAATATATGCGATAACCGAATTAAGAACTAATTGTAAAAATTTCCAATATCCAACTAAACTTACTGTTCATACCCAACACTCGTTCTAAAATCGTAAATCGTTTTTAAGGGAGAAAACGTTTTTTAACAGCTTGGTTTGGAAATTCGATAAGACAGAGGAGGATTTCGTTACAGGCAAAAAAGGGAGTTGCAATATTATAGGAGCGGCAAACTTCGAGTAAGCTTACATTGTTTGATTCATACAAATTTCAATAATAAAAGAGAATAAAAATGAAAAAAAAAAAGTCAATTAATTAACAGTGCAGAAACCAAATGGAAAATATAATAAAAATAATACTAAAGGGTTTTCTCTTAATAGCTCATAACATCGAAAACTGCCTTGACTAAAGGCGCACACAGTTTCCAACTTTCGATTAGAAATCATGTACTTGTCGCAAATAAATACAAATCTATTATGGCCTTAATTAAGTTAATATAAATTGAATTGATGGTCAGAATTATAACCATCTTAATCGAATACTGGCCCATCTTGCGGACTATTTTTCACATGAGTTTTTTTACCTATGAACTTGGTATAGCACGTTTGGAAATTGACTTTGAATTTTTGTGTTATCACGATTCATTATAAAAAAATTGTATATGTCTGTCAAAAAACAGCTGAATCAGGGCGGCTCAGAAGATCGTTTGTGTAACTTTTATGTGCATTGTCACTAATTAGTGGGGCAATTTTCTTATAATTCAGTTTTTAAATTAATCGTAGGATGTTGTATTAAGTTACTCAAAAAAACTTTTAGCTTGGTATTACATAGTCACAATGATTACGTCCGTTCTTATAATTTATACTTATACTAATATTTTTTATGTAAAATACAAAATAGAATATGGAAAATATTGATCAATTAATTAGGTTATTAAAATTTAATACTTAATAATTATGGCTAATGTTCTTTAAGGGATTCTGGTAGGTTCACTCAATAAATACACCATTGACACTTGATATATACAATTTAATTTTTTTAGGAAAAAATACAAAAGCTATGAGTAATAAAGTTTAAACAAAAATACAAAAGAAAAATAACGTTATACAAAAATGAGAAATGCAGCTGTAAAAAAATGAATTACAGAATAAAGGGAGAAAACTGGTAAAGGTTTATAAAGGCAAAATACAAAAATAAAATTATTCTTGCCAATTAACAAAAACTTAAAAAATTTGCAACTCCAGCACAGATAATATAATACAGTGGGGGCCCAGACAATTGTTAAAATTTCACATTTTTCACGTTAGCGACTAAAATTGTAATTTTTTCTATCACTCTAAACTGTCTCTTTTTTTATCTCATTAGTTTTTTTTTAAAAACAACTCAATCGATATGTTGTATCGAGCCTAGACGATCGATTTCCAAAGAGGTAGAAAGAAGTAAAGTTGGCTGCAGCACTGATTACTGAAGGCGTCATGGCGTCACAAGAGAAGTGTGGTGACAGTTTTAAGTAGCGAATATTAAGCTGGCACCTACCATCTTCGCAAACCAACGACGCTCCAAGCATGTAATAGTAGTGTTTCGAAAAAACTTTATAGTTCTTGTTCAAGCATTTTCACAAGACCTAGAACTAGACCAAGACCGCCCAATTGTAGCAAGACCAACACCAAGGCTGACTTGGCAAGTTTTGAGCAAGAGCAAGACTGACCTGCGAGACTCTTCCGTCTCGCATTTAAATTAAACTGACAATGATATTTAAGGGTTATTGGATTTAATGTCCATATCGATAGACCCTCCCTAGTGTCGGAATCAATATCACGATTTCATCCATATAATAAAGTTCGTCGTTATAACACTCATAAAAGCTATTGTATTGATTATTATATTTTGATGTATAGTACTGTGCTTTAACATTTCAAGCTTGAATTAAATCTAAACAGCGGTTTTTATTTAGTCGAATCGTGTATTTGAGCTTGAGCTTAGCGCTCCAAATAATAACAAAAAAAAAATGAACATTTACCAGGACCGGAGCAAGATAAAAAAACCAAAACGTATTTTTATGAATATAAATTAAGGCAAAATAGTTAAGATGATGTCAATATAATTTTATTAATTTGGTTGAACTTAACTATGTATATGTCGATACAAGTTCAAACTGTACGTACTCTGTTGCATTATTCTATGATTTAAAATAAGTAGTAATAGGCTAACAAGTGATTGCAAGACTTCTGAGACTTGCTGCGACCAAAACCAAGATTCCGTGTGCAATACCAAGGCCAAGACTGACTATATCTTCTCATCTCTGCATTGATTAATCTCATTACATTATTGTTCAATAAGATGAGTATTGTTCAATAAGATGAGTGAAAGAGTTTAAAGTTTTCCAATTCAATAAAAACAGTAGAGACATAACATAGACTTATTTTAAGGCTGATATAGAAAAGACAGGATTGAATCGGAGGGCATGTAACACATAATGTTTGCCTCCTTAGGGAATGAGCAATTACAGATTGGGGTGGGGGGATAGCAGGGATCCAAGAAAAATTCATAGGATTTCGATTCATTTGTGTAATATAAATCCACACAGCCGAATCTATGGGGCTGAAGCCCACTTTTTTATTTTTCTTCCAAAGTAATTATCGTTATATATATTTTTTTTTTCAAAACTTTCGGGCTGAAGCCCCCCCCTCTCTAAAATTAAATCCTGGATCCGCTAGTGATATTCTATGATGGGTTACCACCAGTGTTTCCACTTTGGTGAAAAAGTATCATATTTAGAGAAATTCCATTCTTGTGATTGGATAAAAAGGGAAAAGTAAAACAGACATTAAAGGAGTAATTACATATAATATTGCGTATTATTTTGCATATATTTGTGTGGAAGATATTTCCAAGTTATTTCTTAAGAAAAAATAGGGAAAATCTGAATGACCAAAAGAGAAATAAAAAATATGGTGGAAACCCTGGTTACCACATACAAAGAGGTCCACAAGCTCTCAAGGAACAGTCATTTTTTCTTTATGAATGCTTACATTGCTAACAGAGCAAGATCCAAATCGATGAAACAAATAACATTAAAGGGGCTGCATTCATTTATTGAATATCTGGTTCCTTAATTAAAAACATATATGTTTTTTAAAACATCGGAATTCATTTAAAGCTTAATTTAATATTTAACAATTACCTATTATTAAACAACCATCATAGAGGCAACCGTTTTTCAATTTTTTTTTTTTTTATTATTTTAATGGAATTTACAACTGTATTACATAGAAAATACAATAAGTAAATGTGAAATTGGTAACATGACATGTACATGAAGAGAAACTACCCATTGGTAGAACTCAAATTAAAGTTCTATATTAGAAGATCCCGAGGCCATCTTCTTTTCAGAAGCCTCGGAGGGTTATCAGGGATCGAGGAGGAAAGGTTTGAAACGAGAGGATTCGGATGGTTCTGCAGTTTGTTATGGAAGGATAGGTATTTGGATTGGGCCAAATCGGAAACATATGGAACATTAAGGTCTTTATGGATGATTTTATTTGTGACAAAGTAAGGAGCGTTGAGGATTTTACGAAGGATTTTGGATTGTAAGGATTGGATACGAGAGGAATTCGATGGTTTAGTGGAGCCCCAAAGCTCAAATCCGTAAGTCCAAATCGGTCTTATTATTGTCATATATATGAGTCGTTTATAATTTATTGAAAGCTTAGATCGTTTGTCTAGTAAGTGCTGCAGTAGTCGAAAACGTCGGACGGTTTCTAGTCGTTTCAGTCTGGTATGGGGGTTCCAAGTGAGTCGTTTGTCAAGGTGGAGTCCTAAGTATCGGATTTGTTCGACAGGAATAAGAGGGCTATTGTTGAAGGATACTGTAGGACAGGAAGTCATAGGTATACGATGAAGAGTGAAGGTAATTTGATGGGATTTATTGGAATTTATTTTAATCCACCAGTTTTTACACCATTTTTCAAGGCTTGTGATGTGTGATTGAAGAGTTTGGGATACAATAGATGGATCGTTATTAACTGATAGGATACACGTGTCATCGGCATAGGTGGTGATGACAGTGTTGGTTTTTCAAATTAATTGATATTTAATAACATTTTTAATAACAAGATTGTTTTATTTTTCAGATACACTCGAAAGGCCTGAAATTCGGAATATACGAAAATTATGGTACCAAGACATGCGCTGGATATCCTGGTATAATTGATAATGTTAAACAAGATATAAACATGTTTGCTGACTGGGAAATCGACTACATAAAAGTTGACGGTTGTTATTACAGTGGTTATGACTATGCAAAAGGTAATTTTTAAACGATATAATTATTGAATGTGGACTCATAGTGCTTAGAATAATAGTAAGGAGCAGTGCTGGCCTTAGACATTTGCCCCCTCTCCAGACAATGACGTCATCTCTCTTTCCTAAAAAAATTAAATTTATTTCTTGAGCTATTTTATATTATGTTATAAGTAAATTGTATTTATCTAATACAGTTGCTTTATCATTAAATTAGTTGCTTGATTATTTAAATTAGTTTTGTATTTTTTTTTTAAATTTTTAACAAATGGCGAGGATCCCCAGTGAGCCTTTCAGGCAATTACTCCGGTTGCACCGCCCTAAAGCCGCCACTGTAAAGAGAAACAAAGAGCTCACATTTTTTTTTAATTATAGGATATGAAGAAGTGAAAAACAGACTTAATCAAACTGGAAGGCCTGTCGTATTTTCCTGCAGTTACCCTGCTTATCAAGACGAATCAAGTGTCCCTGTAAGTGAATAATTCTTAAGAATTTATTCTCATTCACATACAGCTTAGAATTATCGTTTAAACATTGGAACTGTTACAATGGCAGCATTACTTGAGAGTGATTCTCTTTACGTACTTATGTTTTTGTAATTTAAATCTGAATATAATATAGATACATTATAGATTTTGTCTTACATAGAAGTAATACCCAAATCTTATTTTTCTTTAATTTAGACGGACTTTTCGGTTTTGGCTGAAAATTGTAATTTATGGAGGAATTACAATGACATTGACGACTCGTGGCAAAGCGTTACTACCATCTTGGACTACTTTGCTTTGAAACAAGAGCACATTGCCAAGTTCGCTGGACCTGGTCATTGGAACGATCCCGACATGGTAAATAAAATATTTTTTCTACCCTGAAATATTTTGTTTAAAAAACTTAAAAAAAAATGTTAAATAAATATATTTTAAAAAAATTACATTTAATTACATTACATTAAATATAATGTTTAGATTATAATTAGAAAATTTCAATCACAAAGCTGTGAGTCTCTAAAATTCAGGTAAACAAACTAACTCAGCAACGTTTCGCCAATTTCGTTCGAACGTTGGGTCAGTCATCAACCACCTAAATCACGTATATATATAGACGTGTACAACGCATCTCTTACATATCACATATACAATATCAGTGCCTGGGCATGTCTGAATAATTAAAATCTAAACGCGACGAAAACTCAGGCCATTATTATAGGTTCCAATTCTATTCTTAAATCCATTTCCTTCCTTCCTCCTTTAGTCATCAAGGATCATCCTATCACATTCAGCTCCTCCGTTAAAAACCTAGGAATCACCATAGACGAAAACCTCTCCTGGAAACCCCATATCGCCCTCATCTCCCGTAAGTCAATAGGTACCCTTAAGCTATTTCATCGCTCCCCCACCTACTCCCACAACCCATCCGCAAGCTCCTTGTATCCTCTCTCATTTTCCCCCACTTTGACTACGGCTGTGTGGTGTACGGAGGCATCCCGATGGTACTCGAGGATAGATTGAAGCGACTCATGAATACGTGCTTAAGATTTGTCTTCGGTACATCGAGGCGGTCTCATGTGTCCCACCTTTACGAAGAGTTAAAGTGGCTCTTCCCTTCTTTCCGCAGACAATATTTCCTTGGATCTTTCCTATTCCAAACGATCAACACCCGACACCCTTCCTACATCTACAGTCTCCTACAGTTTAAACCCGTGGTCCACTCCCAGAAAACAAGATCCCGTGTTTCCGACCTTTATATCCCTTCCCATAGAACTAAGACGTTTGAATATTCCTTTATTGCCCGATCCACTGCCTTCTGGAATTCCTTGCCTTCTGAAATCCGCCATGCCTCTTCCTTGTCCTCATTTAAATATCATCTTTACCAATTCCTTCTCACATCCCAAAATGACGTTATACAATAAAATAAATATTGCGAAACAGATTTTGACTGAGGTGAATGGTTGTAAAAATTGATAGTTTTTAATTTTAAAAATCAACCCATGTTTATTTTATTTTGTTCTCTTTTCATTTAAATAATGTTTTTTTTTATTTTTTTTTATTTTCAAAATGGTGTTATTTTTACTTGTTTTAATTTAATTTTACTGAAGATACTATATATTCTTTAACATTGACTAATGTAATTTTTGGCCAGATGTAGTTTTTATTTTTTGTTCATATCTGTTATTCATAAGGGACCTTGTCCCAGAATAAAGTTTTCCTTCTATCTATCTATCTATCTACAATATGCCACATACTTTTTACTTACCTTCTGCAATTTTTTACTTATCTTCTGCACTCTCCTATCTATGTGTGTATGTATGTATATATGTATGTATGTATGTATGTATGTATGTATGTATGTTTGTATACATCTGGATATGTTTGTTTTTTCTTTTTCTGCTCGTAATCTATTTCGTGATAGATAGATCACAATACTTGTCTAATTTTTCACAATATCTTCACATGTTTTCACTTAAACGTCTTAAGGAACATATATAAATCATTTATTTGCTCTTGTTATTTTCTTTTATTCTTATTTTTATTTTTTATTTTTATTATATTGTAGCACCAAAATTGATTACCTCTAAAACTTATTTAGCATTTCTTTCCAATTTTATTTAGATATTAGTATGTTGTTGTTTTTGTACCAATATTATAATATTGTAACCCTTGTACCCATCTGCTTTCCTTAATATACCCTCCAAAACTATGGATATACTCATTTTATTACTTAGATTATAGTTACTCTTTATTATAATAGGTCATCTGGGCAGATTGATTCGCAATTGGTTTAAACAATATTTTTATTCTTAAGGAACCTAGTCCCAGAATAAAGATGATTTTCTATTTCTATCTCTCATGAACAGTTCAAAAAATACTTATCAACTAGAGACAGCAAATCACTCTATCACATCCCAACATATGCTCTAGTAATCAAGTATATCTTAAATAGAATAATGGAATTTTCCGATTATAACCTAACCAGAAATGCCCAGAAGGGAGTTTCATGCCACAAGTCGCGCCATCAAAATTTTTGAAGGGGGCATATTTTGAATTTTTGAAGGGGGCAAAGTTCGACGGAGTTATGAATTTTTGGACTAAGGGACAAGGGGGAAAACATGGAACATAACGCAGCAAGTGTAATTGTAGATTATCTACGATTTTTCTAATTCTATCTTAACTTGCTCTGTTTTTAAGAAAAGATGAACAAGAGGGGGGATAGGTTCTTGCGCCATCGACCTTGGAGAGGGATGGGCACCTCTGAACCTAACATTACTTTGTGTCACTTTTTGCCGGATTGTATTAAGTATTAATTGTTTTAAATAAATAAAATAATTTATTAATCCCAATATATCACTCATATGTACCATTACATCGATAAATATTAATATTATAAATATTGGTACCCCTCTAGGAACATTTTAGGTTCCTTAAATCAGAACCCTCAACTGGGATGATCTGCTTTTTACAGCTGGGGTAGAGAAGAGCGATACAAACACAATTTTGAGAGAGGAACATTTTTATGGACTTATGAACCTTTGAGAGAGGGTTATACATTTTTGAGAGAATCATAATTTTGTGGAGTATCAATTTGAAGAAACTTACGAGCCAGGCTACAAAGTAAAACTTGTAACTAACCATAACATGAGCTATTTTATATATACTACAATTTCACTGGCACCATTTTGAAGAAAAGAAGAGCAATAAAAATATTTGGTTACGAAGCCCTTCGGTTTGGGGAGGGGGGGTGAGAGGCGACCTGTTTCACAGAGCATGAATTCTAGAAACTGATGTTTTAAAAATCAACCACAATAGTTATGATAAAATTTAATGAATTGAAAAGAAATCAGAGTCACCCTGTTTATTATTTTTTTTTTTTTATATTCGTGGTAAGAGTTTTTCCAAAAACTCTGTGATTTAAATTTCTTCTTGATAGTTTTTTATTGTTATCCCTCACTTGCCCTGACTAAACATGATAGTAGGGGTAAGCTCAGATCCCTGTTTGGCTGAGACTTACCCCTATTATTATGTTTTGCCGAGGCAACTGCAGATTATCCCATTAAAATAGTATTTTTTCCCTATAGATTCAATTATGTCCCACTTTCATGACTTTAATTGAAGATTATAAAATTTGAATCTCAGACCTGTTCTAATTTTTTTTTCGGTCATTATAAATAATCCTCCAGAAAAAAGCCATGTTGCACTTACCACATAGCCACTACTGCTTGAATAATGAGTCTCCCAGTTATCTCCTATGCACTTACCCCTAATGCAAGAACAAGTGTACTACTAAATTGAATAATCAATCTCATAAATAAGTACGTGATTGAACTGTTCGCATAAGTGTAATATTTAAAACATAATCCTATCAGGAACATTTAAAAAAAAAAAGATGAAAAACGTAGTTTCAGAAATATATATATATATATATATATATATATATATATATATATATATATATATATATATATATATTATCCCATATTGTCCTATATCGCCAATTGCCAAAAAAGAATCTTAGGATTCTTTCAAATAAATAAAATATATGAATGTGTAGAACATACCAGAATGCATATTTAAAATTATTTTTCAGACAATTTAATAAAATAGTTTTATACTTTAAAGTACCAATCATAATGTACATAATCGAATAAGTACTATTCATTTGATAACATTATTAATAAGATATAATACGTATAAGTTTATTTTTATGTAAAATAATTATTTATTTATTGTTTATGTTCTTTTCTATACAGTTACTAATAGGAAACTACGGGTTAAGTTATGATCAGAGCAAGGTTCAAATGGCGCTTTGGGCAATTTTGGCGGCTCCATTGTTGATGTCAAATGACTTAACTAACATTAGGCCTGAGCATAAAGAAATCCTACTGAATCACAACATAATAAAAGTCAACCAAGATAGTTTAGGAATTCAAGGACTTCGTGTATACAGGGTAAGTATAAGTTTCAGTCATTTACAACTAGTCTATGTAAAAATACATTAAAAAAAAAAAATTGGAAAATACAATGTTTATGGTTTTCATAATAATTTAACTGGTTTTAGTAATAAGATTTAGTAGTTATTTAAATATTAACATTGTTTTTATTTTAATCTGTATTTTTTTTATTAATTATCTATCCATTGAGGGCAGAATGGCAGAGCACACTGTAGCGTGGGTCCCAGACTGCCTACCTAACGTTATAGGTTCGATTTCCACCTAGGTCGGTTTATTTTAATTTATCGGCGGCCCTGGGAAATTAATCTTGACATCTTAACTCTGGTAAGCGGCGGTAACCTCAAGGTAGCCTTCAGGGGTTGAAAAAAAGGGTCATGTAGCCCACATGCTTGACTAGTACACCACCAGTGACACTATCTATCCATTTCTTTTTCATCCAATAACATTGCTGTTTTAATGAAACATGTTTTCGATACACAAGTATTACATAGAGGGATGGAATTTAACTTTCCACGCCATTTTTACTACACCAAGGTAGTGTAGGTATAAAGATTTTAACCTTATCTTAATTGCACCACGATAATGAACCTGCACACATTTCATTGATTGTTCGTGAGTTTTTGACAAGTTGTTTGTGAAAGATAACACTGTAATGATGTTCTAGCCTCCATATTCGCGTGATATAGCCCAATATTACTTTTTAATTTTTCCATAACTTTAGATTAAAAGCACACGGCTGAGAGAGTTAAATGCTATCCCAAAGATCGAGTCCCAGAAAGTTTTCGTAAGAGAGAGAAATACTTCATTTAAAGCAGTGCTGCCCTACTATGTAAGGTTGCTCGATACACAGCGTACTCATCAATCTTTTTTTTTTTTTTTTTTTTGGACGTAGCACTTAATTATACTTAATCATATGTTTATATATATATATATATATATATATATATATATATATATATATATATATATATACACAAATTATTTTTCATATTACACAGCATAAACAATATCAATACTATAATATACTAATACACACAATTCAATTATACAATATGTACTTATTTCAGTAAAACCAATTTCTTAAATTTATAGGGGAAAAAAAAATGGTATTCGAATGCCCAAGTTTTAAAACGCACAAAGAGCAAGTAACATAGTCCTATGAACATAGACAAAAAGATATGGTCCCTTACATCATTTAAAATTAAATAAATAACGATAATCAACCCCTAATTACCATATATAATAAGTGATAATGAGTGATATCTAATAGCGAATACATTGTTGTAGATTAATAAACAAAATGATTTTTAAAAAATTACAATTCCCGTTACTTATTGTATACACATCGCATATAGCTCCCCACCTAATATGAAGTAGCTTTAATTAATATAAACTACCAATGTAGCATTTGTATACAGATAGTTTATGGACAATACGCTACAAAATTGACTTGAATTCCATTTAATGATTTTTTTTATAATATAAATTAAAGTATATAAACTTTTTAAGACATTATTTTTTTAAATTATATTATTGTTTTCAGGAAAACAAAATCGAAGTTTGGACAAGAAAAATAATGCCAGTAGTTTCTGGTGAGTTTTCTTATGCAATTGCATTCTACAGCAGAAGAACTGACGGTATGCCATTCCTCTTCCAAGTGGAATTAAAAAGGCTCGGTTTAAATAATCCAGAGGGTTACATATTGAAAGTAAGTTTTTGAAAGTTTAATAATGCTTGAAATATTAGTATACAATGGTATTAAGAATAAATTGGTGTAATACTGTAAGCAATGTGTACAGCAAAAGTGTTTCATACTATTTTTTTCTTTTGATTTTCTTTCGGTCGTTCAGATATGCATTTCCCTTAATTTTTCTCTCCCACTCCCCTCATCCTCAAAAAAAAAAAAAAAAGTATTCGAAATATGTTCTTTATTGCGTTACATCGCGATACATAAATTCTTTAAGCAATTATTATAATTGTTACTAATTAAATAATCTGCAACATATAATAATGGTATCAATGTAACAATGACAGTATCAGTATTTACCTGTACATCGACAACTTATTTAATGTCTGTTAAATATGCTGATATGCCGATAGGTATTTAGTCTTCCCCCTTCAAACCTTGGAATTTCCCTGAAAAGGAAACCTGTATATTCGAACAGTATTGCTTAGAAATAGTGCATTTTTTTACTCTTTAATTGATTTACGCACTCCACTGTATTTATTTATTATTATATTAGTGGAACTACGACTATACATTATAAGTAATGTTTATTTCTTATTTTTTTAGGATTTGTATCTCGACAGAAATTTGGATGGTATATATTTCCCATCAAATAATGTTACAGCGAAAGTAAATCCAACAGGTAAAGAATTTGAAATTTAATATAATCTCTTTCTAATAGTTTAATTTAGTATTTAATAAAATAATTTCACTGGCAATGATACATACCCCATAATATGATATAAGAAAAGAAATATCAGAATTTATAGCAAATTATTTAGGAGTTATGTTAAGGCAATTGATTCCTAACAACCCGAAGACGAGCAATGGCAGAAAATCCATCTTCTGTTCCATTCACAGTTGTTCAATCCTTAAAATCCAATTAAGATTATTAGAACATACTTCATCTTGAAAAGTCTTTTAAATGGGCTAGCTGATAACCTAATGTTTGCGCCTGATTAACATCATCGTCTCCTCAAATAACTACCCAGAAGGACACAAAACGTAATGGTCTATAAATCAACTATTTCTCCCATTATTAAATTCCTACTAGACATTAAATAGAAAGCAAAGAAGTAGATTACAAGCTTTTAGAAATGGTTTTAATGCCGAAATTTAATTGTATCAAACCTCGTTATCAAATTAGTGAATAATGTATGATAATGAACGGCATTGTTTGAAAAATCAAAGAAAATACAGGGGGGAAGGAGTATGCATGTTTGAAGGAGTTATAAAATATTCTGAATAATAATATATATGAAATAAAGTCATGGTCTTCATGATAAAAAGTATTTCTAACTGTTATAACTCTGTAATTTGGACTGTATTAGGACAGTGAAAAAGGTTAAATTCCAATGACAAACGTATAATCGCTACCACCAGGGTGAAGAGTTAATGCTCTTCCCAATCCTATAAATAATGGGAGGATAATTCGAAAGAAGTTAAGTTAAGTCTAAGCTGAATTTCCTCTAGCTTGATCTCACAGGGGACCGTCAGTCTTGAGTTGTATCAAAATTAAAGTTAAAAGAGTTATTGATTGAAGTGAGTTTACAAGAGTATTGGAATACGACTTAAAATGGTATGGTGATAGTTGCCGTGGAGAGCTGCCGAAGTATGTGTGACTAGAATCGAACTGCCATCGAAAATTTAAGGATCGGCATTTAAAAGGGGCTCGATGATGTGTCAAAAAGGGAAAGGGTTCTATCCATCACCTGGGAAAGTAAAACGTTTAAGATTTGAAAGGACAATGATCCAGAGAACTTTCTATTTTATACAAATTATTTCTAAATTCTGTGGGAACCAACTGTGTGTACTCTTTACAACTGTCTATCTTTGTAGGGATAGTAATAAATTTTGGCAGCTATCTAACAGATTTCTAATTTCTGTGGTCATAGTGAACTCTCCACAGAAAGTTTTGTATTTGCAGGGCTAATGATAAAAGTCGGCAGCTATCTCGACAGTAACATCGCCAAAGCGTCCATAAATACCCGCCGAGACGGAAAGGAATTCTTTGCAATTTGAGGTGAACTGGAGTTAAGAAGTGATTGAGGGTCGTGGAGCCATGGTAGAGATAGCCTGCGAATGCGAAGTGACTCAAAACTATAAAATGTATTGTGACCCTTACACGATCATTCGTGAATGAACGTCACAAGAATGGCAAAGATTGCTCGGGATCGCTTTGATCATGAATACCCTTACACGTTCAATCATTACTGATCATTACTTATCATTGCTCACGCCAATTTAACTCAGTTGTAAACAAATAAACAGCATAGATAAGCTTATTTGGACATTGTCCTTTATAGTATTGGACATCAAGAGAAAAATGGAGATATAATAATTACTTCCTAGTGCCTGGAAATAGTTTAGACCAAAGTTAGAAGAATATAAGTCAACTACTTACAAAACTTTAGGAAAATTATTGCGAAAATAATCAATTTGTTAAGAAAATGAAAAAATTAATGACAAATAAACACAACAGTTAAAGATTTTTTTTTTCTATAAGTAAATTGTGAAGTTTCCACTTTTTTTTTTTTCAATTTACTGCCCACATGACTATTTAAAGAAAAAATAGTTGAAAACGGTTTATAACAATATATACTAGGGATATAAACAACTATTTACTTTTATGAAATTATTTACTTAAAAATGAGGCTTAGGTAAACTAACCTATCTAGTAGTAAGGTTAGTCTCATAGAAAATCGTTCTGACAAAAGTCAGTAAAATATAAGCCTACTTACTACTTACAAAAATTAAGGAAAAGTATTGCGAAAATAATAAATTTGTTGAGGAAAATAGGAAAAGGACTGACAAATATATACAACAGTTAAAGATTAATTTTTTTCTTTAAGTAAATTGTGAAGTTTCCACTTTTTTTTTTTTTAATGTTTTGCCCACTTGACTATTTAAGAGTAATTGTTGAAGATGGTTTATAAAATACAAACAAGAGATATGAAAAACTATTTAACTTTTTACTTTTAATGCTTAAAGATTTTAAAGCTTTCCACTATTAGCATTTATGACAGTTCGATAGTATCGGTAATCTTCACTATCGAAATGCCTAGTGACAGGACAACTTCAATCGAATAAACAATCAGAAGCTTTGAACTCTAGGAAGAAAAACCCCAGACAATGTCCTGTCTGTTATTATCCCCTTCCAGAAAAAAAGTGGTTCAAGAGCATTGATTTTTAAAATAAATTGATTTTTTTATTTTTTAAATATTGACGAAGATAAAATAAATAATCAGACTTTTTTTTCCGTTTCAGGTGTCGTATTTCTCAAAGCTACTCCACAATAATGAAGAACCATATATAGCAGTCAATGTATTCAATTTGTAAAATATAAAGAAACTCAATACAATTATACAAATCCATTTTTTAAAATAAACCGTATAATGATTCTAGCTGTATTATATGAAATAAATTTTAGATCAAACCTAAAAGTAATATCTGCTATCTATTGTATAAATTAATACTAATCATAATAAACATATATCATTATTTATGTATGTATATATTTCAGAAGCTCCAAAGGTAATGTAATATTTATGACTTCCTAGACAATGAATTCATCAACTTCGACAGTCAGCAATGCTATCATATTTTTATAACTTATAACTCTATAGAAATAAAACTTTGGAAAAGGGAGAAGAGTCCACTTAGAATTTTTTTTTAAATTAAGTCAGTACTCAAATGTCTTTCGTTTCACCGAAACTATTATTAATAAACGCAGATATATCATAAAGAATGAAAGAATGATATGGTATAGGAACTTTTAAATAAAACTTGTATCCCTGTTTTTTCTCACGTATTTCTCAAGCTGTTTTGTATCAAGTAATATGTGAATTTTATTCCAATCAATATGTGTTTAAGTCAGATGCTTTATTAGTAAGCTAAAATTACTTATTCTGATACGCTATGTCGGCAGTATAAGCAACCTACCGAAAAATGAACGGATTTAAACAGGAACAAATGTTAAACTTAAAATAATACATTTTTCGTTCTTATATTGATGTTAAATTGGTTAGAGAGCGTTTTATTGTTTACTGAATTGCTTGATATAAAGTAGTGTTGATAAAAATCACATTAAAAGTATTATTAGTACTATTATAGAATGAAAACTCGTTACTTTGTCTACTATTATTATATAGGGACATTAGCCCGCGGTATAGACTTGTTACTGGTCGTTTTATTAATATTACTTAAGTTTAGATAGATTATCTTTAATAAATATCTTAAAGAAAGCTACAGACTTGCTAATCAACACAATTTATTTATAACCACAAACATTACATTTTATAACCATAAAAACATCTGAACACATTATATTATTTACATATGATATCGATTGTTTATAAAATTAAATTAAATCATATGGTCTGACCTGCTCCTACAGACTCCTTTTTATCTAATTATTAGCATTCGTATAAAAATACGCGGATGGCTTCATGTTATCGTAACCTGCTACTTTTAAGAATATTCTCGGAAAAGGGGCGTTTTCGATCCGGAGATTAGTAAACATTTTATATTTAATATGCATGAACACCCATTTATTTTCCACTTGAACCGTAAGATAATTAGTTCACAAAATCGAATGAAAAGGTGGCCTACAAAAATATTTGGCCGTTTGACGTACATCTTCATCCACAACATGTAAAAATAATGAGGTTATGTAGGCCAAACGGTCCAATATTTTTGGAGGCCACCTCTTTTTCTCGATTTTTTAAATCAAATTATCTTACGATTGAAGTGGAAAGCAAATGGGTATTCATATGTTTGTAGTACCTCTACTATGTAATTCAAATCTATCATATGGATCTATAAGTATCAGTTAAGGTACGGAGCGGGACAGTATTAGCTTTAATACCTAAAGCATTTATGTAAACAACTCAGAATGTATATATAGGAGATTATAAGGAGCAATAAAGCAGTCTTGTTTCTGACTTCATGCGTGTTATTTGTGGATCCTTTACTCTTTTTTTTAAGTGTTTGAAGCCCGCAGCGTTTAACTGGTGCCGAAACCCGGGAGGGTGAGAGTACAGAGGTACGTTTTTTTTAAATCACCGTTACGAGCATGCCTGAGTTTGCCATAGGACAGCCGGCTACCATGAATGTGCCGGAGATCCCTCCGTTGCCGCAGGGAACCTTGGCCGCGGCACATGCGAACGCGATAGAGTGGATCAAAATCCGGGTAGCCACTGCACAGGACCTCAGGGAGGCTATATCCGATCTCGAGCGCTTCACTGGGGAAATAGGTGAGCTCAACCATTTTTTAAAGGGTGGAGATCGGCTCGTGGCGAGAATTAATGCGAAGATTGGCGAGAACCTCGTCAACGCTGGGGATGCGGAGGCCCTTAAGGCGGCCCTGGTGTGCAGGGTAAAACGGAACATCCTGAACCACATTCAGGCAGATGAAGGGACGCCGTGGGAAATGGTCAAGGAGAGGCTGAAGAAGGCCTACGGTGGTGGCAGATAGACTACGGAAGAAGACATCTATCAGATGTTTCGCGAGGTGAAGTCTTCACGGCATTCCAACGGACAGTATGCGGCAACATTAGTAGCTCACTACAACCGGGTCATCGAGAAGATGCGGGAGACAGCTGGAGCCCCGGAGGTCGAAGCGAAGATTGCCTTCTTGTCCACCATACTGAAGGTGCAATTGGCGAAGGAAACGGGGAAGAAAGATGGCCTACCCCGGGAACGTTCGTTTATTGAATGCGCTCAAGAGATGGTTGATTCCAGCGCTCGAGATGAAGAAGCCCGGTTAGAGGGGGAGGAACCAGGATGGAATAGAGTGATCTACAGGAGACCTAGGAGTTCACCAACGACCTGGAGAAGGAGAGAGCCCGCACACAACGGGAGAGAAAAGACTACCGGAGCCGAACGGAGACCAGAGTAAGGTAGAGCAAGAGGTAGGCAACGGAGAGAGGACAGGATATGCCACAGTTGTGGAAAGAGTGGACACCTGGTGGCACAGTGTCCCCGCACGAAATGTTTTGAGTGTGGGACTGAGGGACACATTGCGAGGCAATGCCCGTACATTTATTTCAGAAGGGGCTCACAGAGGGTTGAGCCGATGGAGGTAAATGCCCAGGAAGTGAGGAGAAGAAGGATACACACAAGGAGGAGCGAGTCATCAAGAGACTCGTCGGAGGAATCCTTGGCCACGGAGACAGAAGAAGAAATAGAGGACCCAGTAGGCCGGGAGAACGAGAGGAGTCGAGGAAGAAGCAGCGGAAGGAGTGGACGCCGACAAACCGTGGAGAGGATCTAAGGAGAGTGTCAGGCGAGGGGTGACCGCACGCTAGTGAGTTGTAGCATCAGAGGTAAAAGCTGCTGGTTACCTATAATAGAGGTGGGAGGAGTGCGATGCCTGGTAGACACCAGGAGTTCCAACACCATCATGACACGGGGAGTGTTGAAGAAGCTGTACTATGGAGAGAGGACACTCCAAGTCAAGGTATGTAATTGTAAGTTAATCACCCTGGGTGGCCCGTGTGGGGTAGAAGGGGAAGTGGAGATAGGTTTGAGGAGGTGGGCAGCCAAGGGAGGGAAACTTACGGTGCATGTAGTGGGAGAAATGCCGCGGGAATACCAGGTAATCATAAGATATGATATGTTGGGGAAGGTGGGCGTGCGAATCGCATATAGAAGGGAGGAGTGGAAAATAAAGATGGGGAGAATCAGGTATACGAGTACGATGGCAATAGAGGGGCATGAGGACCGGAGAGCACGTGTGGGAGCTATAAGTCGGGCGGAGGATTGGAGAGTAGTCGTGAGAAGGGAATTCGAAGACATCTTTTTCAAGGAGGGAGATACGTTGGGGGTGACGGGCAAAACGGTGCACGAGATCCCGCTGAAGCGCGAAAAGGTGAGCTACGTGAAAGAGAGGAGGTATCCGCAGGCACTGCGCCAATACATTAGGGAAGAGTTGGAGAGTCTAAAGAAGCAGGGGATAATTGTCGATAGCACGTCGCCGTATAATAGCCCGCTAGGGCAGTTAAGAAGAAAAGCGCGCCCGGAGAGGAGAAGTACCGCGTGGTAATCGATTACCGCAAACTTAATGAGAATACTGTGGATGAAAAATACCCAATCCCGAAGTTTGAGGACATTTTAGATCGGTTAAGCGGGGCAACGGTATTCAGTACTCTTGACCTGAAAGCGGGATATCATCAGATTAGGATGCTTCCGGAAGATCAATTGAAGACAGCATTCACGTTCGAGAGGGGGCTTTACGAATTTACTAGAATGCCATTTGGTCTCAAGAATGCCCCTATAACGTTCCAGCGGCTAATGGACGAGTTCCTAAGGGGAATTGACGAAGGGATGCGCCAAATTTACATGGACGACCTGTTGGTATTTAGTAAAAACGAGGCGGAACACGTAGAGCATCTACGTAGGGTATTTGAGAGAGTCAGACAATTTGGGCTGAAACTGTCCAGCGAGAAATGTCTGTTAGGGCAGGACCACATAAATTTTTTAGGACACACGATATCGAGTGAAGGTGTAAAACCTGACGCGCGGAAGGTGGAGGCGATTCAGAAGATGGCAATACCTCGGGATGTAAAAGGGATTCGCAGATTGTTAGGAACCCTTAATTATTATCGACGATTTGTGCCCGAAATGGCGGAATACCTCGTACCCCTCAACAATTTATTAAAGAAAGGCAGCAAGGTGATAGTAACCCCCATAATGGAAGACAACATTCGAAAATGCATGGCGAGGCTGCAGGAGGAGCCAGTATTAGCATTTCCGGATTTTACGAAAGTGTTTACGATCACAACGGACGCTAGCGAATACGCGTTGGGGGCCGTGTTATCCCAGGATGGAAATGGGGGGGACCGTCCCGTAGCATATGCCAGCAGGCGACTTACGGAGGCAGAGTCGCGATACAGTGTACTGGAGAGAGAACTGCTAGCGATCGTATGGGCTATCGACCATTTTAGACCATATGTTTTTGGGAGGAAATTCCGCGTGCAGACGGACCATAGACCCCTACAATGGGTAGGCAAGCTAAAGGAATCTTCGGCTAGAGTCACACGCTGGAAGGAGATTCTAAACCAGTACAACATGGACATTGTGTACAAGCCCGGAAGAGAGAATGTGGTGGCGGATTGGCTATCGAGAGCGCTAACTATAAATGCCATAGAGGAGGATACAGCTGAGTCATCGGGAGGCGTGAGACAATTCCTGAGGGACTGGACGCCAGAGGGAGAGGGGGAACAAGTGGTGGAAGAAAATGTTGATACCCAACAAGAAGAAAGTCCAGCGGAAGAGAGGCCAGTGGATATGGAAGAACGGGAGGAAATCGTCAACGATAAGAACCGCCAGATCATCTGGAAAACCAGGACGTCGGGTCTGATGAAGATATTGTATAGACCACATCTGGACCAGATCTGCAGAGCTCTCAAAGACGCGTCGAAAGCAGGGAAAATTCACCACTTATATGTAGGAAATGAAACGATTTGGGAGAAGATAAAGAGGCTATGGCGGGATGAACGATTAGGGATGGATAGGACGTTCATTCGATGCAAACTGATGGTAGATACAGTGCGGGATGAAGAGCAGCAGAAGGACATAACGCTTGCTTACTCCAGGGCACCCCAAGCTCAGAGGAAGTATAGAGAGGCTGCACAGCACTCTTAGTGACGATCTCAGGGTGTATCAGGTGGAAAAAGGGTTGGAACCGGATGTGGCAATGCGGAAGGCGGTGGCAGCGTACAACCATTCTATACATACGACGACAGGGTTCTCTCCGTTCGAAATCCTCTTCGGATTACGCGGGCGGCAACGGGACTGGGGAGGTACACCTGCGGACGAGCAAATGACAGTAAGAATGGTTAGTAACAAAATGGACCTGGGTAATCTCTGGGGGAAGGTTAAGGATAAAATAGAGGGGGGAAAGCGGAAAAGGCTAGCGCGGGAAAATCTCGAAGTGAAGGAAGTAACAGGGGGATTGAAAATCGGGTCCATAGTGTATCGCAAATTAGGCTCGAATAGAGGAAAGGAAGTGCGGAGATATGAGGGCCCATTCAGGGTGATAGTCATTAGAGAGCATAATGTGGTGACGATTGAGATTGTTAACGAACCGAAAAAACGAAGGACGGTTCACATAGAACAATTAAAATTTCCGATTACAGAGCCACAGCAACCGTAGAACTGGAGTGCCCTCGTCTCCGGAAAGAAGATTTTTTTTTTTGTTGTTGTTTGTTTTGTTTGTTCTGTATATAGTGTTCTGACATAACGTTGTGTATATTTTGAAAGAAAAGTGCAAATGCAGTGAAGTTTCATTTGTGAGAAAAAGGTGTTATTTTTTTTTATTTTATTATATAAGGAATAATTTTGCTTGTTTTTCATTAGATTTGGTTGTAAGTACTGAACACTCCGTACCTGTGTTATAATGTGGACAAGGGAACCTTGTCGTTGTACTTATAAGAATTTTACTTTTGGTTTTTATGTCTTTTTATTTTTTGAGTTTACGAAGAGTATCCGTAAACTGGTGGGGGGGAGTTAAGGTACGGAGCGGGACAGTATTAGCTTTAATACCTAAAGCATTTATGTAAACAACTCAGAATGTATATATAGGAGATTATAAGGAGCAATAAAGCAGTCTTGTTTCTGACTTCATGCGTGTTATTTGTGGATCCTTTACTCTTTCTTTTAAGAGTTTGAAGCCCGCAGCGTTTAACTTATCGTCTATTTTATCTACAAGCAATTCATGCAGTTCTAAACGAATGTTAATAATTTGATAAAAAGGGGTCTGTACTAGACTACTACTCAGAAGCCAGATTGAGAAAGTCAAGATTCATTTATTGGGGCGGCCTAGAAATAAATATTTCCAGTGATAGTTCTTACCACAGGCGGATCTACGGGGGGAGGAGGGGCTTTGGAGTGAGACCCTCCCGCCCCCTTCCCCCCCCCTCCCCAAAAGGGAAAATACAACCATCTTTTATCGAAAAACATATTGAAAAATTATCTCTCGAAGTATTATTGTTCGTGTAATTACATTTA